GTATTGTTGATAAAATTATTGTTATAATTTATTGTAAAAGTATCTGATATTGTTGCCTTGGTTTTAAATTGAATACAATGTGTCTTATTAAAATTCAGGGATAGTTTATTTGCTCTAAACCATCTATTTAAAATTTCAATTGTTGTAAGAATATTCCTACTAAGATCATTTATATTAGAATGTGAAAATAAAATGCTAGTATCATCAGCAAAGATTACGGGTGTAGAAAATCTATTTAATACTTTAGGCAAATCATTTATATATATGAGAAACAACAAAGGTCCCAATACCGACCCTTGTGGCACTCCCTGCCTAATATTGAGCCATTCTGAGGATACTGTATTTACATCATTCTTATGTATTACTGTTCTGATATATCTGTTACTTAAATAAGATTCATAAAGTGCTTGATCTTTCCCAGTAATACCATAAAATTTAAGTTTGGTCAACAAAATATCATGATCAACGCAGTCAAAGGCTTTCTCTAAATCACAAAAAACACCTGCCACTAATTGTTTGTTGTTCATAGAATTTAAAATCTCTGTAGTCAATTTGTAAATTGCATTATCTGTTTTTAATCCTTTCCTAAATCCATATTGTTCACTACTTAGGATATTATACTTATTAAGATGTTCTAAAGTTCTTGTATATATTATAGTTTCAAATATTTTTGAGAAAGATGTCAAGAGTGATATGGGTCTATAATTAGTCACATCCCATGTATCACCATTCTTATACAGAGGATTTATCAAAATGATGAGACATCAGTTAAATATTAATGCTGCCTTTTATCAGTCATAATGTGATAGATCTTCTTGTCTTGAAAAGTCAGAGTGTAATTATGAATTTTACAATATCATAGACTTGACAGTTATGTTATTGATATGATTAAGTTTGCTACACAAATCCCATTTTCATTACTAGCTTTATGTAATTCTCCACTTTTCTTGTTCCTTTGAGAGATGTGTAGAATATTCAGTTTTCTTCGTGACCCAATTGTTCTTGGAAGTCCTAACCACCATAAATTTTGAGTTGTGAAGTTCAGCAGAGTAGTCTGAGGGAAGCAGCCATGCTGAGTGGAGCCATGCAGTTGAATTGTCTCATTATGGACTTAGAAGCAGTGTACAACATTCATGTGTGATGAAACAATGTGTGCTGTGAAACTCAAGTAATGAGTCCTATGCTGGAAACAAGAAAATAAAAAGAAGAAAACATTGTGATGACGGTGAAATAGCCATGGATGAGATAAGCAAATATCAAGGTATTAGGTGGCCACTGATAAATTGAAAACAACTGCTCTAAAACAAGATAAACATTAGAGTATTCCTCATATGACCTGTTGTTTTTGTCATCATCATCATTCTCCAGTTGGGGCATGCACATTGAGAATAACTGTACTGCAATGATTGCCAGGGTTTTGAGCCATGTTATGGCTCTTGGATGACGTCATGCCTTCCAGCCATGTTAATCCCTACCCCTTCATCCCGTGCTGGAGTGTATCACGTGGGATTCCGCTTCCTCTCCCCGTCCCCTCCCCAAATGGCTCGGAAAAAGCCAGTTAGTGAATCAAGATTCATTCGCTGTTTGGATCCACAGTGTATCGGACGTATGCGACCAGCCTGGGATATTTTTCAAATTCGGTTTCGGAAGGTATTCTAAATTATGTCTGGGGGGGGGGTTGTGCTGGCAATGCACGTCGGGGGTTTTGCTTGCATTATAGGTTAATGTGTGGCAGAGCGATGGGCTTTAATTTAACGTTACGTCATTGTGTTTTCTTTCCTAGGAATCGCCTGTGGGCAAGGAATATTTGTTAACGTTTATTTTGTGTCTGCTGAAGTAGCATGATGGTAAACAAGAGTAATAAGCAGTGAGCATGGCCTATTAAGTGTAGTCTGATGCCGCAGTTAAGGCAAGAGTAAAGGAACTGACAGATGTGGTCACAGGTTGTATGTTTTGTGGCCCACGGCTTCTATTAACTTCTAATTGTTGTATTCTGTTTTATTGTGTTTCTCTTATTAAATTAATTTATGATTTTGAACTAGTCTTGTCGATTGGAAGTGTCTCCCTGCTGTGGCTTGGATTCCCTACTACATCTAGGGAGCATTGTGAACATAACATGAGAGCCCCTGACGATGCGCCGTTCCTATCTTGGACGTAAGAAGTGCTAGATATCATCGGGAAGAAGCGGCACAGTTTGGAACATTTAGTGTCTCCCTACCATTAACCACTTCAGTTCTTGTTGTTAGCTTGTTCTTATTCCATCAGAATTCACATATTCGCACTACATCTGAGTCATATTGTCACATGTTGGGTATGTAACGCGACAAATAACTTCACACCATTCTGGATCTAGCGAATTCATTGCACATTCACTCTTACATATACACAGTTTACAATCTCACAACTACTGCCATCAGCAGTATCACAATTACTTCTCCTGCTTCCATTCACTCCAGCAAATGCTAGACTGCAGCTGACTGGTTACTCCCTCTCTCTGACGAATACTCCTGTTATGTAACTTCCGCACTGACAACACAGAAAAGAGTTACATGATAGCTTTCACTGTTGCATGATGTGTTTACCGATTGCCTAGCAACAGTCACTGCATGTGCTCCCCTGTTGCATGATGCTGTGTTTACAAAGGTGTTGCTGGGCAACGCTGCATAGCAACCAGCGGGCTTTGGCTCAGCACACACGAACACCACTTTCCTTACTGTTGCGTAAGTTGGAAACCGACTGTTTATCAAGGGTCCATCTTCGTGGTAACTAGTTCCACCTCCTGTTGCCCAGGAACGGTTAGACATGTCACACTGCTCCTATCTTAAGACTGTTTGTCCTGGGTAGCCTAACAGTGCATCACTGGTCCTTTCCTTCTGAGGCTATGCTTGCACCGTTTTCTGTTTTGTCTTGCTTGGTGTTTCCTTTCTTCCCATTGTCCATTCTTCAACCGCTACATCCGCTTCCTTCTTAAGACCAGCTTGTCTCAAGCAGTTTCCTATTAACTTGTCAGGAGATGCAGTTGTATCACATTCTTCCCTCACATTCATCCATCACACATTCACTCTCACTGGGGAGGCTGGTACTTCCACATTACCAGTTCCTCCTCTGCTTGAAGTCACTTTTTCTGTTTTGTAGGGGGTCGTCCCTGCCACAAGGTCCAATCCACGATTCTCCACGTCCTGCTGGAAGTCTTGGGCATTTTTTTAGTGTTTTTTGGACCATAGGTCTCATATAAGATTGTCCTTAGTGTTCCTTCTCTTCCCAGAAGAGCTCACTCTCCCGGGCTCCACTTCTGGATGCCGTCCATGGTTGTCCTCTTCTTCCTCCCATGTAGCTGCCCCTTGCCGTGTCGATCCTTTGTTCCTTTATGGTGCGTCTGTAAGTTCTTGAGTGGCCCTACTCTCTGGGTTGCTTGCTCAATCATGGCCCTGGTGCTGTTTCTCCAAATGACGTTTTCCTTCTGCCATGCCACTTTTGCATGGCAGGTCATTCCCATGCTGGCGAATCCCGCTCTCTTGTGGGGTCCACACTTTTTCTGAGTGGTGATCCTGAGGATGTCTGTCTTGAGTTGTGCCATTGTTGTGCAATGGGACATCCTTGTGTCGTTTCTCTTCTGCTTTTGCCGTGCAGCTGTTGCATGGTGGCTCGTCCTTTTGTGGGTGACGACCAGTCTTTTCTGGGATTCACACTTTTCCTGTGTCGAATTCTTCAGTTTCTGGTGGCGGCACTCCACGGCCAGTTTTTGGTCCCTATGCCGTTTCCTCTTTGGTTCTCCAACTGGCATCTCTGTGGCGTCTTCTATGGGTACCTCTTGTTGTTCTGCCGCCTCAGGTTTCATGTCCACTGAGGTTGGCTGTTCTTCTTCTGGACATGCCTCCATTTCTTGGCAGACCATCTTCCCTTCTTCTTCTAGATGCACCTCCGTCATTTCTCGGCAGGCCATAGTCTCCCTGTCTCTTTCTGGTTTGGTTTTGGCCACCATCTCCTTGTCGCTGGTGTCCATCATTTTTATCATTTCCTTCAGTTCTCTTTGCTTAACCTGTCTGTCATCCTCCAATCTGGACTGCAACTTAGCTTAGTTTGTTCTAATTTCTTCTTTGTCGGTTTTTCTGTCGGCGTCCATTTTAGCTTGGTTCTCATTTCTTTTTGGTGAGCTCTGATTTGCTTCAGCAGGAGTACCATCATCTGCTGTGACTCCATTTTTGTGGCAGTATAATACTCGATGCACAATAATTTGTTCTAGTTTGTGGCTTGTTTAAGTTCATAGACACTTGTGACACAAAATGTCACGTGTTGGGTATGTCACACGACAAATAACTTCATGCCGTATTGAATATAGCAAATTTATTCCACTCAGTCTTACATTTACACAATTTACAGTCTCACAACTACTGCCATCTGCAATATCACAATTAGTTCTCATGCTTCCATCCACTCTGATTAATGCTAGACTGCAACTGACTGGTTACTCTCTCTCACTGTTGAATACTCCTGTTATGTAATATATGTTCAATCCAAGAACCCTTTAATATTTCATAACACTAGTTTTTATGGTGAGGGGGTTGATATCCCCCTCACTGACTTCAAAGCTGGAGAACCAGTTGTCCATGAATTTCTATTCACTATATTCACTGCTTCCCTCTATATCTATAAGTTATCTCCATCTGCTACCTGAGGATGTGCTGTCATAACAGGAGACCCATTTACATGGATTGATATTTTCACCATAGTGTAATTTATGTCTGTAAATCTTAGATCAAAAAGTAATCCGTCATCTGTGTAAACATGTTGAGACATATTGTGCCACTTTCAGGGAGGTGGTGAAGACACAGAAAAGTTACCGTTCAAAACTGAGACAACAAGTTGCAGAAAATTATCCACAGAAATTCAAGGGTAATGTAGATGATCCAGACTTTGCCAATTTGCCTGCTCCAGTGAAGCTCTGCGTGAAGACAATTGAGAGTATTAAAGACTTCAGAGTAAGTATTATAGTGACCATAATGGAACGTAAAATAATTATTAAAATACAAGGAATAATCCCAAAAGTTTATCAACATGGGTAATAAAGAAATGAGGATTGAAATGGGTAATTAAAGACACGAGGATTGAAATAGCTATGAATTTGCGATTTAAGTCATTATTTAATCTTAAAGGTGGATACAGTTTGGGTAAAGCCTAGTTTCACCTTTAGCTCTCCAAACCTATATTGAACTCTCTTTCACATCCCTGGTAACAACCATGACAATGACAAGGATAATAATAATTCAATTCTTTATTATTTATGTGCCTAGTCAACAGCCGCATAAATTTTTGATTGTAGCCCCAGTAGTTATAATAAGTATTCCTGCCAAATCTTACTGCTTTATGGCCACTAGAATATTAATATCCAGATTTGCTGAAAAAAAGGTTTTTTTTTGTGGTCAAGTCGTCTTAGAAAGACTGGCATAACTCCTGTCCTATTTGAGACATCAAACTCATTTTAGGCTAGTGTCAAAGCTAACAATTCGCCTTCCATCCATCAGTTACACCAATATATTCAGCATGGTTATGTTTTTGAAGGTGATCACCTTTCACCTTTGACCCTTTTAATTCTCAAAATGCAGAATTTAAATTCTTTAAACACATATTTTGTGCACAAAATTTTATTTAAATTTTCTGCAGATATAAAGTTGGGACTGCAATGGGACTGAATCTTGTAAAACATTTTGCGGTATGGAGTGAATTCGCTTATGCTAATGAGGCAGCTTATGCAACATGTTGCAATCTGGGTAAACAGAAATTAACTGTGTGTGTATGTGTGTCTGTGTGTATACATAATCAGAAATATTTCAATTTATATAGTAAGATACATTCTTATTAGGAAACTACTTGTATAAAAGCTAGTAAAAGTTGTCAGTACAATCTTTTGAACTGTCAGAGGTAACAAGGCTCTAAGCCAAAACACAGTTTCTTCATATAACCGCTGATTGAGGAAGTCATGAAATATTGGCGTAACATATGCAGATCAGCAATGAGGATGAAGAGAACTTATTTTTCATGTCATTTGATTCATCATTGCCAGATAGTACACATCAACCACCAAAAGTTATCTTACATACATGTCAAAAATTCTGTTATCTCTCAACTCAATCATACTGTCAAGTTTATTTGACTTGTAGATGGGGTTTCGATTGGTGACTCAATTTATTGGATACTCACAGGTTATAAGTACAAGTAATTATAGAACTCTGAAGATTGCTATAACACATAAATTTAGCCTTCAATGTCTGCTTACACTAGTCATTGCTGGGTAACAGATCTCAACAATGGCTATTCCCTTACAGTGTTTTCACTATCTGTTTCCTGGCAATGGATTTTAAGACAGGAATGATCACTTCAAGTCACTGTGAAATCTTCTTCAACCCAATTCTCCAATGTTAATTCTCTTTCTCAAATTCTCTGTAAAACTGAAAATCTCCTAGTCTGAATTCTCAGCTCTGTGTGCCATTGTTCCTTCAGACTGCTTTCCTTATGTAGACACAACACAGGCACACATCACAGGAAACACATGTAATGTGATCACTATGCAGCCAGTCCATTGGCACGCTGGCTGCTGCATAGCAGTGATCTCGAAATGGACCTGCAGAAAGCATGTCACATGGCCACTTCCACTGTTGTGCTGTGATGTCACTGTGCATGTGAAAGCTGTGTGGACACAAAACACTGCTTATGTGTTGTTGGCTGTGGGTGTGTTACGTGCGTTGCTTATCAATGGATTTGCACGTCACAGTATGTTTAGCAAAGTAATCATATGGTCATCTACATAGTAAGGGGAAGGAGAATACGTTTTTGTGTTAAGCTGATTGCCATGTGCAGTTTCAGCTGTTGCAAATCTTTTCTTGGCTGGTACTCATGGCAGCCCACAGCTCTTCTTGGCTGGCGCCTCTCTTTTCTTTGTTGCAACTGATTTTGTCCATAATGTGGCATTACAGGCATTCTGACCTGCTCACAGTTTTTTCCATAACTAGCTTCAGTGCATGATTAATTTCTAATCCTGACTAAAAAATCCACTCCAAGAATCCAACAATCAAATCTAACATTCCTACACTCCTGACACCAGTATTACATGATTGTGACTGTACATGGTCTGGGTTGAAAATGGACTTGTTGGACAGTGTATCATCCCCTTACAATGACCACAGCACCCCACAAGCAATCACAGTGGTTCACAGTCTGCCAGACTGCTTCCACCCAGATCACCAGCACTCCACTGCCATGGACCCAACACCAGGCCAGAGGCTCCCCCACCATGGACCCACCTCATTGCTCCCTGCTGCTGCTGACCCACCACCAGACCATCGAGTCTCCCATCACTGACCACTCTGCCAGCCACAGAATTGGCCAGATGGTCATAGCATGTTTTCACTCTGTCACTGGCTAACTTCAGATGTTGGCAGGTGTAATGGTTGAAGCTATGCAGCCAAATCGTGAGGTCTGCTGCATGCTTGACATTGTCTCATGAGGAGTCTTGAACAGCAGGTCACAGAGTGGCTGTCTTCATCAGGCTTCTGGAGGCAGTTCCTTCTGAAGTGGCCAGCACTTGCACACTGTAAGCACACAAGTTGCTGATCCCCAGTTTGGTTTCAGTGGGCTGTCCTGTCCCAGGTGTGGCTTTCAACTCTCAGCCTCATGGGTGTTATGGCAGCTGTCTCGGTGGCTTCCAGATTCAGGGCCTGACTTAGGCTATTGCTGAATGTTCTGTTGCTGTTTCATCTCTTGGTCCCTTGTCCCATCGACAAATGCATAGGCTGCCTCCCTCTGGATGAAGTACCTGACAAGGGCCCATTGGGCCAACTGCTTGTTGATGGCAGCAAACTTGCAGAGGCTTGCTGATCAGCCTAGTCACAAGCAATTCTGTGGGTGGTCATGCCTGAAGCACCTGAGGTATGCTGGTCACCAGTGACTAAGCTTAGAGACCTGAATGCTGGCAGTGTGGGGTCATCGGCCATCACAGGGGAGACTGCTGACAGGAATGCCCCCAGAACTTGGATCCAAGAAAGGAGTAGGGGATGACACCAAGGAGGCACTTGTGGCATAATTTCCATCCTATCATTAAACAGTTGGCATGTTAGCAAGAAGGAATGGTGACAGTAGAAGCATTGGGGGCCAGATACTGGACAAGTCATACCTTGGCCATCATTGACAATCATTAAGCCAGACATCACTGCAGGACTGCCCGAAAGAGACTCCACCTGGCCGTATATCCTGCAGATGGCATCAAAGGAGACCCTCCTTGTCTTAAAGGAGGTTCTGATAGAATTGACCTTGGGGTGGTTCCTTCACAGGACTTGTGTGTTTCTTGCTGCGATCACTGATGAGCTCATCCTGGTGGTGGATATCCTGCTTGCCCACAGTGTGTCCATTGTTTTGGGGTGACGTGTGGTATGACTGGTGGAGAAAAGTTTGCATTATAGCGCCCAGAACATAATCACGTTCATCCACCCAGATTTAGGACAGCAGTTAGGAGATACTGGTTTGGTGTGGGGAGTCATGATAATATGGCTAGAAAACTGCCTGGAGGTGGTGTATAGCCTAGAGAGGTTAGGTTTAAAGGCCACTCACCTAGCTGGAATGTGTGTGGTGAGGATGCCATGCAGCCCTCTAGGTAATTGCCTCTTAGGATGGCTGGTGACTGCAAGCAGCAGATGCACCTTTACAGAGGTGCACCTTCTAGAGGGCCATGTCAGGTGAAACATACCTAAGGAGGGAGTAGCTGGATGATGGTTGCGTGGGGGCAATTATACAAGGAGAAAAGGCTGGACAGCATCCAATAAGGAAGGACAATGCTGATTGCAGCTTTACATATAGCAAGGGCTGCCCCTCGGTTCATAGGTAAAGGTAGTATGCATGCAGGCTTCACAAGAGGAACAGCTTTAAGGAGGTACCTAAAATTCAGAATCTTGGAATCACAGGAATATCACAGAGGCATCCACTGCTAGGCAGTAACACTGCAGAACATATCTCAAGCAGCAGACATGTCTGACAGCAGTTGAATTACTGTTGAGCTCAAGGTTGCCCAGTTGGTATGCAATAAGGCAGTATATTGAGAGCCTAGGAACTAGCAAACAGGGGAAGTCTGCAGTGCCAGAATGCTGATGGGACAATTTGTGATGAGAGAGCCTGTAACCAAGCAACAAGTCTGTGATAGCAGAATATCTAGGACTCAAGCAAGTATGGTCTAACAGAGTGTGAAACCACACTGAATACTTGTAAAGTGTAATAATCAATTGTAAGTAAGATGATTCAGTGTCTAAGAAATTAAATTCCACCTGAAGCCAGATTTTAGTCACTATCAGGTCTCAAAATTTAAACACTCCTTCTCTTTTTGACTTTTGGAACCATAACAAGAATATGGTAGACACTGAAACGTGGTGTTCCAGCTGGGTAGACATGTCTGTCCTAAAGAAAGTAAAGTAATGTCCCTGTGCTAAACTATTTAAGTACTATGCTATAGAGGCATATGGGGGAGTGGCTGTATAGAGCAACATTTTCTTTACATCTGCACTAGTTGGAAGCTTCACGCCCAGGCTGCTTTACCCCCGGGTTAAAAGCCCCCAGTATCCATTGTATAGGAGCCTGGGTTGAGAAGAAAAAACTCTTAGCCCTACTGGGACTTGAACTCTGACCCATCTGTGTCTGTCCTTGGTACAACTATGAATTACTTATGTCAAGTTTTTCTGATTTAGTGGTTCTAAAATTACAGCCTGTTTTTTTGGGGGGGGGGGGGCATTTCTTCAAAAGCACATAACATTTTCCATTACCTTAGTGTTGCCTCTATACACTGAATTGTATTCTAATAGAACCCTTTGGTTTTCTTTCAATAAAGATACTTAACTTATTACAAAATCACTTAATTCCAAAAAGTGGAATGATTTATGTACATGTTATGAATTTATGATTCAAATGAATTGCTTTGGACTGATAAAAAATATATTGTTAAATAAAAAAGTCAGTTTCTCCAATGAATGCTGTAAGTTTAGCAATGTTAATGAAAATACGTTTTTGTTGGCCAAAGAACATCAAATCGTACAATACCAAAATTTGTTACCTGCAGTCCTTTGAAGTGCAGAATTGCATGTCATGTCCCAAATGTATATACAGTATTTAATCATTTTAATAGTTTTGTGTAAAATGGTGTGGATAGAGAAATATGAGTTAATTTGATGTAATTTGTTACATTTTCTCATAAAACAAATTTTAAGTAAATGTGTTTAAGAAATTAAGTGTTCACAACCTTTCTTCAAATATATTTGAAACATTCGTTATAAGTGATCCACAAGTTCTTATGGAATATCATATATATTATTTCTAACCTGTGTTGTCACATTAAAATCTGTCTGCATTGATCACTTTTACTTATTTTTGTACTGTCACATTTTGGCCATCTCATTGCTATTGCTGATCTATGGAATTATATTCCTTCATCATTCTCACAGTGTATATCCATCCCAAATCTTTAACATATGATAACTCATATATTCCTTAACATTTTAAACTCAGAACTTCATACAAATTTGTTAGTTTTTTCTGTCACTTCTTATTCTGCCATAAAATCACTGCACTGCCCTCTTTGTCAACCTTGTCTCTGCCTGCCCTTATCTAACTTTTTACTCACAGCATGCACTGTTCCTCTTTGTTTCTCTCTGCACTAGTTGCACACATCTGCACTGCTCATTTACATTTACATATATTTATCATTTCATGGATAAATCATCTCCCCATAGGGCTGGATATAACACATGTCACATATTACAAATTTGTGATGACTACACACCATTCGTCCTTGGTCCAACAAAATATAAAATCAAGCCTGAGAGAGAATAGCTCAATTTGTCAGGACAACACACATAGGTCATGGAGAAACCACAATCAAATTCACGCCTTGCCGTTCCACACACACTGGCAAGCCATATCAACCAAACAGTTACATTATAAAATATTAAAATTCATCACAAAAAACGGACATCATACATACTGTACTACTACACTTACAACAAGCAAGTCTCAACAATATATAATTCATGCACACAGACCAATTATTAACTCTTAACTTTTGAGCCCCTTACATGCTCGACAAACTCATCAATTGAGTAAAATGCGTTACTTTGTAAATAGTTTCATAGAACAAACCTAAATTGCTTTTTATCATTTTTTAAAACTGTGATATTTGACGGCCGAGTATTAAATAGCTTGACACCTGAATAATACACCCCTCTCTGATAGGATGATAAGTGTGTTGAAGGTATGTGAAGGTGGTCATTCCTTCTGGTACCAGTGACATATACAGAGTTATTGGTTTGAAACTTATCCAAATTACTAACAGCAAATATCATCAATGAGAGCAAATATACACATGGGACTGTATGAGTCGGACCCACTCCCATCATTATTCTTATTATTTTCTTTTGTATAACACAGACCTTATGACTGTCTGATGTAATTCCATATTTCACCAATGGATGATCATATGCATAATATACAGCTTTAAGAATATTTATATTTAATATATAGGATAATTTTCTCATTAGTAAACCAACTGTGCTCAACTTGTGAAGCAAAAAATCGATATGTCCCTTACAAGTTAGATGATTGTGCAGCTGCAAAACGAGAAATTTTATCATTTCTGCTTCTTTCAGCTTTTTGTTAAAAAAGAATGTACATAGAGGGTAGCTCGTAGCTGCTGTTGGGGTGAACTTTTATCATTTCTGTTTTATCCAGATTTAACACTACTTGATTATTTTGAAACCACGAAAACGTATGATTGAAAACAACTTCCAATATTGTTTTGAAATTATAGTAGATTTAGCTGTGCAAAGAATACTTGTGTCATCTGCAAACATAATAACTTCCAAAATTTTACTTATTTCAAGGGGGGAATCTTTTATGTATATATTAAAGTCAGCAGCTTGACTCGCATTGTCGTCTCCGGAGGCCCTCAGCCGCTGTTTTATGCATGTAGTATATCTAGAATTGTTTGGACCTTTGCAAGCAGATGAGATCCTTCTCATTTGATGATAGAAGAGGAGAGGTCTTGATCCTGCAGTGAATGACAAGCAAATACATGCTGTCATGATCCCCTACCTCACTGTCAGTTCCCATGACAGTGTTTCATATTACTGTGTTTTTGATGTTCATTGTTCATGTTTTGAAATTTGCTGTTATCATCAAAATTTGTGTGGTTCCTCTTTAACCACTGAACATTTCCATTAAACGTGCTTTAATGAATACCTTTCACTAAGTTTGGCTTGATGCTACAAGGGAGAGTCAGTAAATAGGTCACAAATTGATCTAAAACATAAGACATGTAATACTCAAACCTGGAAAAAGCTTTTATATGTTGACATATACTCCACCATCATTGATGCACTTGTCCCATTGTTTAGCAATGCATTGAAATCTGCAGCATAGAAGTCTTTTGACTGTTGTCTCAGCAACTTCTACACCTCCACTTCAACCTCATCATCATCAACGGCATGTTGCCATCTAGGTGGCAATTTCTCGACACAGTTGTCAACAGCATTTTGTGTGACAAAACACTTCTCACCATAAAGAGGAAACTCTTCTTTATGATTATCCTTTGCATTGAGTCTTTTTGCCCACAATAAATGCATAACAGGATGCTGCTCTTTGGTAATACACTTCTCAAGCATGGTCGCCATTTTGACTACTGAAACCAGCCTCTGAACATTCACATGCACATGCATGTCTGCTAACTAGACTGTCATGAAGATGGACTGTGCTGCTACCTAGTGATACACATAGAAGACCTATTATGGTCATTACAGCTGTTTTACTTCTACATTTGTGACGTATTTACTGACTCTCCCTTGTACATATATTCACTGTCAAGTTCCATGAATATTCTTCCTAACCCCATGGTGCTGATGAGTGAATGTGGTTTGTATGGGTGAGCATTTATGTTTACCTAGGTGGCTAAAACATACCTGTATAAAAGTGATAAATATAGATGGATGTTATTATGAGAACATAAGTGTAATATAACATAGTCAAAATAAATTAAATTAATAATATTGTAACGTGTTTCGTTACTGAAGACGCCGTTCGGATTGTTAATTGGTTTATTTAACAACCTACCAGTCTCGGCTACAATTGGTTATAACACTGTTGCGGGGTTTCACACTTTATAACCCCATTCACAATAATCTCTTCACACTGTTCAGTAGTCTACATGTATTCACAGTACGAGAGCTATATAAGTGTCATGGTGTTACACACTTCCAATTACACAATTGCACACACGTCCTGTTCTTCTTTCCACGACTGCTGCTATACTCCAACTGTGTCACTCCTGATCACACACTGAGAACTCCTGATCACACACTAACTTCCAACTCGTTCACTGCTGACTTAAGAACTCACTTCGGCGGCTGATACACTTTAACTCAACTCGTAGGCTGCTGTGTAGTTCCCTTATATAGTCGCAGTGTTTGCCTGTTACGTAATCAGTACCGCTGTTGCCTGACTCCGTGTCGACAGCGGCGTTGCGTGCCATGTCACAGTGTGGGGGGGGGGGACGGAGCGCTGACTCACCTGCCATGTCACTGCTGGATGGGAGGGGATGTCCTCCATTGCACAACACGTCAATATTTTTTCACATTTGAAATTCATTGCCTTAAAATACTGCAATAACATAAGTGAGGAAGGTTAGGTTTGGGGTTGAAGAAATGTTAGCATATTCTGATTGAATTGTTTGCAGTCATACATATATTAAATGTGATTAAATATTAAAATTAATATATTAAACAATATTAAAATGGATCTTAGAGAGATAGGATGGGATGGTATGGATTGGATTGATGTGGCTCAGGATAGGGACCATTGGAGGGCTCTTGTGAACACAGTAATGACCCTTTTGGTTCCATAAAATGCTGGGAAATTCTTGAGTATCTGCAGAATTGGCAGCTCCTCCAGCAGGGCTCAGCTCCATGAGTAAGTAAGTAAGTGTAGAAGTGGTGGTTAGTCACTGGCTTCCCACCGCGGCAGCCTGGGTTCGATCCAGTGTCTGGTCAAGTGGGATTTGTGGTGATTGTGACCAATCAGTGGCTGCCATGCCGAGTGGACCCAGTTGGACTCCACACTCCGCTAAGTGAATTTAAAAAAATAGTGTAAAAGTGAGCAATCAATAAATGTATTTGTTCCAGCCCTAAGACCCACACTATTTATTCGTGTCGCGTCACACGTTACAATATGTTAAGAGTGTTATCTGCTATTTGCTAAGCTGTATAGTTTTTATGTGATTTAGAAAATGTAATCATTATCAAGTCAGTATTTTGTTGAAAATGTGATTTCTTAATAACATTTCTCCTCTTTTGTAGCAATATGTCCCAGTGGTTGGAACATTCTGCAATCCAGCTTTATGTGCACGACACTGGAATGAGATGTCAGAGATAGCAGATTTTGATCTCACTCCAAATGCTGGAACTACTTTAAGCAAAATAATTAATATGCATCTTGAGAAGCATTTGGACAGGTATGTCTCAGAATGTTCAGCTTACTTAATTTTGCTTGATTTGTATAAATACACATATATTGTCGCATATCCACATAATGCGACAAGTATTTAATGTGTTCAGTTTAAATGAAGTGAATTGTTGGAGAAATTCGAACAGGCTTAACTACTCATACAGATAATTATAACACTCAGATTACTTTAACTATAAGACACAAAGCAGGGGCTTCAACGTTTGCTTGCTTGAATGATGTCTGCCTCTCGAAAGGAGGCTAGTTAGCTTCTGACTTCACTTCTGCCCTCTTCCTCTGACTTCTGTGTCTGAATTCTCGTGTCTTGCTTCTGGCTTCTGAACTGGCCTCCATTTATACCTGCTAGGTGGCTGGGGTAGGAGACCCCTCCGTGAACAGTTCTGGTTTTCATTTCCATGGTAATGGTCTGCCTATGTAGGCATTGTCGCATGAATGTGTTTACAATTGTCACTCAGACAATGATGCATTCACTGCTCTTATTTCAGCATAAACATAACTACCAAGCTGTTGTCTAGCAATGGACACCCACTTTGACTCCAATATTCCAGCTTTAAGGCAGCACGTCACATTATTCAGCATGTGTAATTTAAAATTTTTTAGCTAAATTGATGAGAAATTCTCGAGCTTGACTTTGATATAAATTTTTCGTTCTTGAACATCAAGAATTTTCTGATAACTTCTTTTCCTTTGCACATCAGGGTCATGTCAGAAGAGATTAATATTTTTTTTAATTGAATATACCTGTAAGTTCCCTCCACCCCCTTTAACGGTTACAAACCTGCAGGCCATTATCAAGAATTTGAAGGCATTGCCTCTCTCTCTTTTTAAATATAGATGAATGGACAGACATAAGTTATTTTAATCCATTTTGTGGTTTTAGTATGTTCATGCCACAGTATGCGCGAAAGATTGCTAGTTTGCGCTATCCTCTTGTGAGAGTAGCAGGTAAGAAAGTGAGACAGACAGAAAAAGGTTTCTAGATCACAGGCCATGATCTGCCATGAGGTTTCCAAATTATCATAAAAGCTATGAGGCAATCCACCGATTTACAGTGTCACAAGATTCTATGCTAATGTTAGTGTCATTCGACATAAAAGTGACATATAATGTCAAGAAGAATGTACTAGTGTGAAAGTGAATAGTGTGTCAAAATATCAGATGCCACAGTTATGGTTCACAGTTTAAGACTATGGCCATTGAATATGAACAACAAACAAATGTCTACGAAGGAACTGTAATGTGGCAGTGTCCCCAACAGCAAACAACTGAAGATGGAAGGAACAAAAGCCAGAAATAATGCCAGTTGTACTTGAAAATGTTTGTTTATACATGTTCAAAGCTGAAATGGAATTTCAGTTTATTGCAGTAATATTACTCAGTGAGAAGCTAGAATTATTAGACCAGACCAGGGCAGTGTGTTCAAATGATATAGAGGTATAAGTTTCCTTTATAGCTAAGGTCTTCATTTTGCAAGAAGTGCCATCATACTTTGACACAGTGTCAATATTGTAACGTGTTTAGTTACTGAAGACGCCATTCAGATTGTTAATTGGTTTATTTAACAGCCTACAAGTTGGCTACAATTAATTACAACACTGTTGCAGGGTTTCACACTTTATAACCCTATTCGCAATAATCAATTCACTCTGTCCTCAGTAGTCTACACGTATGAATTGCGATATGGGAGCTATACAAGTGTCACTGTGTTACACACCCCCAATTACTTCTCAGTTGTCACAAACTATCACTGATTATCACATACGCGTCTGGTTATTCTTTCCGCGACAGATGCTATATTCCAACTTAACTCTAACGGCTCACTTCTGGCTAGATTTCAACTCAACTCATAGGCTGCTGCCTTCAGAACTCACTTCGGTGGCTGATACACTTTTAACTGCCTTCGGCGGCTGTGTAGTTCCCTTATATAGTCGCAGTGTTTGCCTGTTACGTAATTGGTACCGCTGTTGCCTGTTGCCCATATCAGTAGCGGCGTTGCGTGCCATGTCACAGTGCAGAGGGGGGGATGGGGCGCTGACTCATCCACCACGTCAGCGTGGCCAGAGCTGCCACATCACTGCTGGGTAGGGAGGGGGTGTCCTCCATTGCGCAACATGTCACACTGCTCCCTCCTTAAGGCTGTTCGTCCCGAATAGCCTAAGGGTGCATCCCCGTTCCTTTGTCTTTTGAGGCTGTTCTTGCAGCATCTTCTTTGTGTCCTGCCACTGTTTCTCTTCTCCCCGTCTTCTCCCCCGTTCTCTGCTCTCCAACAGGTACGTCTTCCCCTTTTTATGGTTACTCGTCTCGAGCAGCTCCATAATAATGTGCGAGCCGGTCCAGGTGTACTACCAACATCCTCGACCTAGGGGTCCTCTGGATTCGGTATACCACATCATTTATCCGGGTCACTACTTTGTAAGGACCTTCCCATGATGCTTGTTGTTTCGGCGATTTCCCTTTCCTGCGGGTTGGGTGAGAGAGCCAGACTCTGTCGCCTTGTCGTAACCTGCGTAGTTGGCCAGTTTATCGTACCGAATTTTCATTCAGTCACTGGCGAGCTTCAGGTGCCATCGGGCATAATTGTGGATGTTGTGCAGATGATCCACCAAGTCTACTGCATAATCAGTTGTGGGTAGTTCTTTGTCTGGGGGTACCCCAAACAGTAGGTCGCAAGGTAGTCGTAGTTCTCGTCTGAACACTAGGCTAGCAGGGGTCAAGCCCATAGTGTCGTGAATGGATGCCCTGTAAGCTAGGATAAAGAGGGGTAACCTCTCATCCCAGTCCCTTTGGTGGGATGCGACGACCTTCCGCAAGTGCTCCTCGATGGTCTTGATGTAGCGTTCCACCATGCTATCTGACTGTGGGTGCAGGGGTGTGGTGCGCGTCTTGCTCACTTTGTCACGTGTCTTGGGTGTATAACGCGGCAAATAACTTCACGCCTTATTTGATATAGCGAATTTTATTTCACACTTGCTCTTACAATCGCACCATTTACAATCTCAACTTTACTGCCATTGGCAGTATCACAAATACTGGACTGCAATTAACTGGTGACTGACTCTCTGGCTAACTCATAACTTGTAACTGCTACCTTGCGAACTCACTTCGGCGGCTGATACACTTTTAACTGCCTTCAGAGGCTGTGTAGTTCCCTTATATAGTCGCAGTGTTTGCCTGTTATGTAATGGGTACCGCTGTTGCCTGACGCCGTGTCGACACCGGCGTTGCGTGCCTCGTCACAGAAGAAACCGGTGCCACGTAGCCCAGGGGCGGCTACGTCACCGTGGCCAGAGCTGCCACGTCACTGCTGGGGGAGGGAGGGATTATCCTCCATTGCGCAACATGTCACACTGCTCCCTCCTTAAGACTGTTCGTCCGGAATAACCTAATGGTGCACCCCCGTTCCTTTTCTTCCAAGGATGTGCTTGGTGTTTCTCCTATTGTTTCGTCTACTCCTCGCAGAGACTATTATCCGGCCGTTACAACCGCTCCCCTCTTAAGACCAGCTCATCTAGAGCGGTTTCCTTTTAACTTGCCTTTAAGAACCAGTTGTATGAGATTCATCCTTCACTTTCATTCTTTCTTCTTTCACTCTTGCTAGAGAGGCCAGTGTTTCTAGGTTACCGGCTCCTCCTGTGTACTATTCTATTTTTTTTTTCGTTTCGGAGGGGGTCGACCCCTCCACAAGGCCCAATTCTTGAACATTACTTTCTTCAGAAATTTCTTTTGTCGACATAACGTTGTGGCCTGCACTCGCTGACATTGTCGTTCCTCCTGGTCTTACAGCCGCTTGCTGGTACGAGACCGTGATGCCAAGTCCTTTCTCCGGCATCCGAAGGTTCCCTGGGGAGTTTCCTTCTTGAAGTCATTTCTCCAACATCGTGCGATGGGATATCTTCCTGCAGGTGGCAGCCAACTTCATCCGGGATTCATAATCTCCTTGGGTCCAACATTTCTTGAAGATGTTCCTCCGACACCACGCCACTGTTGCATGGCAGTACACCTTTCTGCCGGTTTTCTTCTGCTGTGCCACTTCCTCACGGTGGCTCGTCCCTCTGCGGGTTATGGCCAACTTCTTCTGGGGTCCACAACTTCCCTGTGTTGGAATCTTCATATTTCGTTGCTTGTTTCGGTCCCTACGCCTTTTCTTCTTCGGTTCTCTGACCGGCATTACTTCAGCGTCTTCTACGGGTACCTCTCGTTGTTTTGCCGCCTCAGGTTTCCTGTCCACTTAGGCCAGCTTTTCATCTTCTGGACGTGCCTCCATTTCTCGGCAGGCCATCGTCACTCCGACCGGTATTACTATGGGATCGTCTTGTTTTTGTGCTGCCACGGGTTTCGTGTTCATCGAGGCTGGCTTTTCTTCTCGTAGACGTGTCTCCATTTCTTGGAAGGCTATCGTCTTTTCCTGTGTTTCGGGGTGAAATGCGTACAACATCTCCGTGTGGCTGGTGCCCATTATCTCTCACATGGCTTCCCACTGCCCACACTGCACTTATGTCTATGCAGGCTTTGTCTGATATCATTGGGTACAGAATTATCAGCAGGGATATCTGGCTAGCACGTTCGCCCAATCATAGTCCTTGTGATTTTTTCTTCTGGGGTTTGAAGGACAAAGTTTACAGCAGTAAACCTGAACAGAAGAACTAAAAGAAAATATTTGTAGGGAAATGCAAATATTCATGCAGAACAACTTCAAAGGGTAAATCAGAACCTCTTCCGCTAATGCGATGAATGTCTACATATAGAAAGATAGCATTTTCAACACCTCCTGTGATGTGTGATTTGTAACCACTTCATCCTGAAAGTTATCAGGCAGCAGGCATATTGATTTACCAGCAAAATTCGTATGCATCTCTCAGCTGGGAGTGGACTGGTCACTGTGAACCAGTCAACAGTGGTAAGAACCTCCATGTATTTAACAATTCATTCTGATTTCTTTTACATGATGAATATAAACTGGTTGATACTTCTGCCCACATAGAAGACATGAATATGTAACAGTACTTTTACTGATAAATTTTATGTTAACTTTAAAATGAACTATGTATGCTTTTTGGAATAACTTTTGTATAAAATGTGAAAGCAGATGTTTGCCAGTGGATAGTAGAGTTGTCTGTATTTCATATTGAACTACTTAAGCTGTAACTGATAATCTTTATCTATATATTTTCTTTTGTTCACTTCAGGTTTGAGATAATAAGCATTGGTGCAAAGAAAGAGAAGGAGTTAGAGGAGAACTTATCAAAACTGTTAACAGAATGGGCTGATATTGTGTTCACAGTTAACAAATGGAAGTAAGTAGAGCCCATATTATGAAGGCTGAACTGTTGCAAATATAACATGTATAAAAGTTGGCACTAAACTTCGCCAACAAGTGGCGGTCACTTGGTCGGTTTAGTTCACTTGCGGACTAAACTCACGGAGTTTGTTTGATTCTCTGTGTGTAGACAAACTGCTTGTACTTCTTTTTGCTCTGGTGGTAATATTGTAGCTTATTATGTGTGTTTACTTTGACACAGATTCAGAGAATACTATTCTAGACTATTTTAAATTGTACTAGATATGGATAGCTGTTTTGCATATTCTTAACTTTTCTATAGTGTACAGGTTTTGTGTTAATTTAAAATTTCCTTACAAGTAAAGACATGGTCTCATTCATGCTAAAATTAACAGATTTTGGCCTGACCTGTATGATGGAAGATTTCATGGCGTATATTAAATATTGTACGCGGTAGTGTAGTTGGTTGATGCACTATGCTACAAGCTGGAAGATTGCGGGTTTGAGTCCTGATGAGGTGGATTTTTTTTTCAATTTACCTAATCCTTCAAGCCACACTATGACCCTGGAGTGAACTCAGCCTCTAACAGAAATGAGTACCAGGATTCTTCCTGGGGGTAAATGGCGGCCAGCTGACAAGTTCACCATCTGTGAGCCGATTGTCTAGAAAAAATGTGGGAACCTCTACATCATAACCCTATGGGCCTTCATGGCCTGTTGAAAATATTTAGTTATTTTCTTGTTTTAGCTTGTTACAAAGGTAACACAACATCTTTTTTTTTTTTTCAGAATATGCATAGTCTCAGAAATTTCTGACTTTGTGTCTGAATGTATCAATCTCTTTGGTACTGGATCACACAGGGTTAATATGACAATTGTTTTTAATCGTTTTGGGTTAAAATCCTGAGCAATACATGTTTTTCCTCAATCCTTGGCATTAATTGTGCTATAACTAATTTAATTTCAGGGATACAGACATTTCAATTCTGTCTCAGTTAGATGACATACAAGCTGTTATGGATGATCATTATGTCAAAACACTTGCCATGAGAGGCTCAGCTTTTATGAAGCCATATGAAGGTAAAAAGTAAATGATTCATCTTATGCTTCAGATGTGCAAATTCTTGATTTGACGAGTAAAGCTGGAACATTGACCTAGAAAAATTAATTCTGATACTTCTCACTTAAGTGGCAATGTGTGTGTGTGTTTGTGTGTATGTGTATTTAAATAAAATAAAAATGGAAGGTTTACCATCACATGAACAAATATTTCTTATTTATCTATTCAAATGTTTAGTCCAGATAGGCCATTATGAGCTGATTCATGAGATCATACACAAATGGTAATGGAACTATAGTGATAGTGTTGGTTACAAGCGGGCCGCATCCAGCACAATACTAAATGTACTTCACATTTAAATTAAGATTACTCTTACTCATAGAGCTGAGCCCTTCTTGAGGAGCCACCAATTCTGCAGCTACTCAAGAATTTCCCAGCATTTTATGGAACCCGAAGGTTCATCACTGTGTTCACAAGAGCCCTCCACTGGTCCCTATCCTGAGCCAGATCTATCCAATCTATACCATCCCATCCTATCTCTCTAAGATCCATTCTAATATTGTCCACCCACCTACACCTCGATCTTCCCTGTGGTCTCTTTCCTTCTGGCTTTCCCACCAATATCCTATATGCATTCCTCGTCTCCCCCATTCGTGCTACATGACCTGCCCATCGAATTAAGATTAAGAAAAAAAATATTGAAACACTGTGAAGAGAAAATTCCCATGAGGCCCATTTTCGAATGTTTTGAAGTTGGCCTGGTGGTGGTTGGATCTTCTGGACATTTTGCTGCTCATGTAGTTTGAAATGTGCTAAATTTAATCTGGAATTGAGAAATTAGAGCGTTTTATAGCTTTATATTTTATGTCATAACTGCTGTAAATGATCTTTCATACTGTGGTCCTCTGGACTGTAACACTGTATAAGCTTGTAATCAAATACCAGCTTCTAGAAGAATTTGTTGCCTCCATCATCATGGGTGAAAAGTGTAGGTTGAGGAATTGGCTTGGTTGCATAGTCATGTAGCATGGAGGGTATTTTCTCAGACCTATGGTAAGAGGTAAAGAAATGGAGCCCCATCTGGGCTAGTGGGAGCAGTGGGAACGAAAACAATCGTTTTAAGTGAAACACTTTCTTTATCACAGGAGGACAATGAAATTCTGAGCAAACAGGGGCCTTATAAGAGACAGTATTTGCTGTCACAGGAGGAAAAATAGAAATGTAAAGGATGGTCTTTTTCTGGGCCTTCATATGTTTTCCTCATGAGAGGGAAAATTAAACACTGAGAATGGGGAAAGTATGACACTTTCATGGCCCCTATAAAGGAAGTGGGAAGTGAGAAATCTGTTCCTTATTGCAAGAGATTTTCTTCTGGAAAATAAGTGTCCAACTCTAAAATAACATCGTGTCACAACCCACAAGACCACAGACTGAACAATCACCGCTGTGAAAACCTCAGGACTTTATACTTCTTAGTGTCAGCTCATCTTTCATTAGACTGTCTATGATTGAAAACGATCACACAAAAATGGACTGTGGTACATCAGTTACTTTCACAATAATAATGTGTGTTATGATTGTGTTGTAAGGTCTTTACTAATATAATTACATTTCTTACAATATTATTATTACTGATTATAGAAAGGGTTTGGGCTGGTGACTGGATTTATTGAACACTTATACACATGACTTGGAACTGTATGCAGATACAGCACTATCACTGATCTACACAATCTACAGATCACTACAGTACACACTAAGCTTCATTTTTTTACAGTCTTCCCTAGTCATTGTTGCATAACAGGTCTGGCTAATACTACTCACAACTAAACTCATTGCTCCAGCTGTCCTGGTTATAAGATTTGGCATGACCATGTAGAAAACATGCCATTTCCAACAGTAACTGTATTGTTGTATATGTATTCATTGCCATGGTAAAGTCTCTACTTAGCTGATTCCCAGAAATGGTCACTGTTTACAGAGTCACCACTTAGCAACAGGTTTGTATGCCACAGTATTGTAGCAGGTAGACATGTTGCTAGGTAATGGCCCGTACACACACAGCAGAGGAATGCGTCATGTCTGCAGTGACATCACACAACAATAGAAGAGATGTTGCAAGCGTTGTTCTGTGTGGGTCTACTCCAAGACTATATGAATGGACTGCCAAAGTTCAGATCAGTTAATGAGTGCAGTGCAGTTGGATACAGTGGAGGGAAGCGAGTTGGTTGGTGAACAGTCAGTCAGTTAAAGGAGTGTTGCAGTTCATTTGTTATGAGCCGTTGCTGTTAGAAGCTGGTAGGTGGGGCATGGTGATACTTCAGGAACCCAGAGTAAAGGAAACTTCTGCCATGAAAGCCATTACAAGGCAATGTCTGGTGAAGACCAGACTGAGATAACTTAATAGTGAATTGCAGAATGTGACTGCTGTAATTACATATAGTTATGATAAGTGTTTAATTAATCCAATTACCAATCCAAACTCTGTCTATATTCACTCATACATGTGACAATATATTACACTGTGAAAGGTAAAAATTTTTCTAATGTATTTCTGATCTTCTCAACTCCACATTTTCTGTAACTGAAATGTGTATTTAATTATTTAACAATGAAGAAGGATAGAAACTTTGTTTCTTTTTTTCCTTTCAGCTGAAGTGCGAGAATGGTATGAAAAACTGATAAGAATGATGAAAACAGTTGAGGAGTGGGGCAGGGTACAAGCACAGTGGCTTTATTTGCTTCCTGTATTCTCATCTAAGGATATTATCAGCCAGATGCCAGAAGAAGGGAGACTGTTTCAGGTATTTTTCATTTCAATTTTAAATTTTGTCTTGAAAAGTACTCTCTTCCAGGATGTTACAGCATGTAGTCTGATAGAGGGATACCAATGTTTTGGAGACACGTAGAGCCTACATCTGTATGGCCTAAAAGTGAGCTAAGCAAGCAGACAGAGACTGCCCAGTGCTTGCTGCTTGTTTGCTTGATTTACTCTTTGATCCTAATAAATTCCTCTGGAACATCAGTAAACTTCCTCCAAAACAGACAGCGTACCATCCAAGAAGTAAATACTCTTCGTAGTTACTACTGACAGAATGTCAGCTCTCAAATTGTGTCATCTTTAGGCATATGTTTGATTAACACTTTGAATGAGTTATAGAATAGGTTTTCCACAAACTATATGTTGCATCATGCTGATTATTGGGCAGTGCCAGAATAACATTTGAAGTTTAATATGAAATTGAAATGAGAATTTTGAAAAAACTTTGAAAATCAAGATAAGAATGGGCATTTTCTATACTAGATTAATCACAGTTTGTAACACTGGCACTTTTTCTGAGTTCACTGAAGTGTATGACTTATCCCTTTGATATCAAATAATTTTTAATGAGACTTTTTAATAAGTCATTGTTTTTTAAAGAAATCAATTCATGGGCTGTATCCTCCTTCACATGGGTATACCTGGGGGGCGGGGTTACAGACAGATTTTGTGAGAAGTTGATTATTTGCTCGTGCTGCCAGAAATTATGTTTCTGTTGGGGCAGGTGTTTTGTATGATACATCACAAAGTGAAGGCAGTTACACCTAAATGAAAATTCTCAAAATTTGAGACTGAAAATTCAGTGTATGTATTGAGATCAAGATATTATTTTTCTTGATTCAGTCTTGGCAATTTGAGACTTGCACATGCCTGCTGTTTATTTAATGTGGATGAAGCATTGTTTATATGTTCAGTTCCATTGGTGGAGAAGTTTGGTAAGAATTTAGTTTCAGAATCTCCTGTTTTCTTCAGCCTATTTGCACATTTTTATTTGCCATTTAAAAATATCTGTGTTAAGTATGGTTGTATTTATATCTAAACTTTGAAGAAAACAGTAATTTGCTACATTCCATTAATTAGTTCAAATCATCTACTCTTCTTCATTGAACTGGTGGCAGATACATATTTGCCCATTTTTAACCTACTTTCCTTACTTTGAAAGAAGTAAAACTAGGCTTGTGAGATCATCTTGCTTGCCATGTGTCTGTGTGTCTGTCTGTGCATCCTCCCAGATATTGAAAGCTACATAGGTTATCCAGAAAGTAAGTTCCCATTGGCTATTGAAAAAAAAATATTTCCAGACCATTTATATTGCCATTTGATGTACACTGTACAAAACTTTTCAACATAGTTTCCGCTATCGTTGAGGTACTTGTCATAGAGGGACATCAGTTTTTGTATCCCTGCATTGTAGAATGATGCCTCCTGCTACTAAGGAATGTTTTCAGATGCAGGAACACATGAAAATCACTTAGTGCTAAGTCTGGGAAGGGATGTAGGAGGGATGATCGAATTTGTTCCCAACCAAATGTCATGATGAGATCTTGCATTTTGATGGCAGTGTGTGGGTTGGCATTGTCATGAAGCATCACAGTGCCATGATTAAGCGTAACATGTTGCTTGTTGTGGATTGCACGATGCAGTTTCTTGAGTGTGTTGCAATAGACACCTGCATTGATTGTTGAGCTGAGAGGAAGAATTCTACAAGCAGAACGCTTTTTCTGTCACAAAATACTGTGCACATGATTTTGCAAGTTGAAGTGGTCTGTTTGAATTTTTCTCTATTGGCAATGATGTGTGCCTCTACTCCATGGACTGCTGCTCTGATTCAGGGGTTATATGTGACACCCATGTCTCGTCCCCTGTGACTGTGAGGCTCAAGAAGTCATCACCTTGCTCACTGTATTGTGTCAGAAAGGTCAACACACTGGCCTGCCATTTCATTTTGTGTTCATCCATAATCATCTTTGGCACCCAGCATGAACACAGTTTCTGAAAATGAGTTTATCAGACACAGTTTCTTGAAGAAGTGGTCATGAAATTTATGGAAAATGGTGAATCATATGTTCTTTTGAATCTTCTTTTCCACTTCATGCGCCAAATCTTAATTAACTACAGATGCTCAGCTGTTCTGTGGATCATCATGCACATTTTCGCTTCCTTCATTAAAGTGTCTCACCCATTTCCTTACCACTCAATCACTCATGGCATATTCTCCATACAACTCACAAAGTTGATGATGAATGTAAGCTGGTTTCATGTTTCTTGCCTTCAAGAAATGGATTACAGACTGCATTTCACATGTGGCAAGCTTCTCAATTTTCTTGAATATTGTAAACACACAGGACAATGTGTAAACGTGGTTTGGTTGTCTGCAAATTGCGTCTGTTCCTTCCAAAAGGACCAACATATTATGCACGCATGTGCACCATAGTGACTGCAACACTGCAGCGGCAATATTTGCAAACAGAACTTATTTTGTGGATACGCCTCATAGAATAGTGCAGTCAGAAGAGATGGCCATTACAATACCAATACTGATGAAAAGATCCCCATGGCACACTGCAAACCCATCGTGCTGGTGACCCCACTTAATGCTGAGGCACCCATAGCTCAAATGACCACCCACTTTTCGCAGGACGTGATTGCTGGTGCCAGGCAAAACATAACTGATGAAAAAATCTAGGAGTTGGTTGAATATGAAGACACTTTTGTTACAAAGGGCAACTCCTATTATTGGACGGACATAATGTATTACGGTAACAATGGAGGAGAGACCAGACTGATGTGACAACCCCCGAGGAGTGGGCAGAAGTGGGCATGATGCTTGAGGACTTGCAGCACTGTGGTGTTATTGAAAAGTCAAAGAGCTTTTGTCATCTCCCATCATTCTCCTGCAGAAGATGGTGACCTCTGTTTCTGCTTAGTCTCCAGGAAGCTGAACAGTGTTATAAGGAAAGACTCTTCCTTACTGCCTCGGATTGATGATGCACTGGACAGCCAAATGGTTCTGCAGTCTGACTCTGAGGAGCGGCTAGAGGCAGATCGAGCTGCTCAACCAGGCAATGCCTGTGTCACTTCACAGTCCAGTATGTGCAGTTATATGCCTGTGGATATTGACTGCATTCACTGTATTAGCAGACTCAGAGTAATGTCTCAATTATTGTGATTGTATTAAATAAGAAAAAACTAATTTCTTGACACCTTTCATTGCAGGCTGTTGATCAGGCATATAGGAGGTTAATGAATGCAGTTGAAAAGGATCGAAGAGTAACTGAGACAGCAGGTGCACTTGGCATATTTGAAACTCTACAAGAATGCACAGCTGATCTGGAGAAGATCAATGAGGGAGTATCTGCCTATCTAGAAAAGAAGAGACTTCTTTTCCCAAGGTAGGAGGGTAAAGAAATTATACTCCAAAAGAAGAGCTTATATTTTTCTGTTTAACCCCCTTTCCTTATTCTAAGAAAACAAACATAGTCTTATAAGATTATCAAACTGTCTGTGTATCCACTTGGCCTGAACCAATGTTTACAAAACTTCGTATATGTATCATGCCACATGAGGCCATCTGAATGCCATAGTTTGTGAATCCTTCCAATCAGTAAATCCAACAGTGCAGCATTTGAAATCACAGAGGTAATTACCTTAATAATACTCGAATATCATAACCAATTGCCATGAGATTTTTGAAATCACAGAGGTAATTACCTTAATAATACTCGAATATCATAACCAATTGCCATGAGATTTTATGTGTGCATATTGCCACCTGAGATTATCTCTTAAATCCAGCCCATCAGTCATACCAAAATTGCTAACTCTGGGATTATTATCATGGTGATAACCTTAATTTTACTTTAATGCCAAAGCCAATCATCATGAAAATTGTTATTGCTATGAAACTTGGCATGTATATCATGACACACAAGGCCGTGTCCGTGGCATACTTCATAAATCCTTCCCATCAGTAATACCATCACTGAAGCCTCTCAAATTTTATTGTTTTATTAACTTCATTACGGATGTATACTAAAGTTCTTTCCTACTTGTCATGTCAAGTACTCAGATTGTACTGAAAGGAAGGAAGATGATCAGTTCTTCTCAGAAATTCTAGTTAACATATTCATTGTCCAATGAAATATATCTGTTAGAGAAGAAGTCAGGTTCTTGAGTTTGAAGCCAAGCAGATATTGCATCTTTTAGTTAATTCTTCACCTGAAGAAAGCATAATTTCATGCAGAAATTTATTCATAAATTGGAACAGGAAAGTCCTTTGGGCCCAGGTCTGATATGTAAATTGGCTGGCTGAACTCTATAAATCCACAGTTGGCATAGCATATTAAATTTTCAGTAGCTTTTGGATTAGAATGGAGAACTGTATGTTCTTGTTTTGACATTTTGATGCTTCATAAGGACTGCATAGGATTTATCAGTGGAGGATAAACCCAGCAGCAGGAAAAGCATCAGACCATTTTCTCCTACAGAATAGCAACTGTAGTCTTAAGTGTTAAGAAGCCATTTTACTTCCAGTCTTTAGTTTGAAGATCCCAGTGGTAAACCAGTATTATCTCATTAGACATTAATGTAAAAATATCTATTGAAAATTTCAAATTTCTTCTACCCTGAAGATGGAGGTAGCAAGTTATTCCAAATTACATGTAATCACCTATGTGACTATATGGTATCAGTCCCAGAAGAATGCAATCAATGTTTTCACCACCATGAAGACCTCAAATCTCATTAAATGTTAATGTCTTCCCTGTCCTGAAGTTAGAATCCTGACTATCCAGTGAAAACTGACTTAGTTAGGAGTTATCATGAATAATGTGAAAGCTGGTTCCAAAAATCTGTACTTCATGAGCTGAAACAAGGAATGTAGTGTAAACCTCTTCAATTGTCATTGTCTCCATTTTGTCACACAATTCTAGTCAGTCTGAAGGAAATTTAAACTGACTTCTTTCTAAATTTTCATCCACTTATTCAAGGGTTGTATATGTTAATGATAACTAAGTAAAGTTTCCCCATAAACATCTCGGAAAATTTCCTTTCTGTCATGAGAAATTTAAACTGATCAGTTTTGAAGTTTTATTAAATCTATGGTAATGCGACAAAAGTCTGTGAGGAATGTACTGCTGCTAAATACAACTGAGATACTGATCTGACACTGCACTGGTGCACCCAGTAGGCATGTTGCTATGTTTTACAGCACAAACATGCTTACCAATTGTCGGCTTTAAGTTTGATAAATAACTTGTTAACCAGTTTCCTTCAGACATTAGAGACGTCACAAAGTGAATTGAATGAGCTTATTCACATTTACTGTGTGAGATTTCTCATTCTCAGGCTGATGTGTATGATGATTATTGTCTTCTGGGATGTGACAGTATTTAGTCTAGTAGATATTTACTAAAAATTTGGAAGAACCTTCTGCCTTGATCTTTTGGGTAAAAGGGTGTGTTCTACACCCTCTACTTTTCAACTCTTAAGCTGAAGGTAGCAGGCTTCTCCAAAATGGTCATAATCTGCTACAAGATTCCACAGTGTCACATCCCAGAAGACAGAGTCTTTATTCACATGCAATGTCTCTGATATTTCCCCACAGGTAAAAATCATATGAAGTCAGATCTGTGTAGATTAAAGACAAACTGAGTTTGTAAATTCTTTGTCTCTTACATTTTCTGTCAGGAACAAATCCCTGTATGTCACTAATTAATTAGTTCAAGGCCATTTTGCTACCATTCAGTCCAGAACCTTTTGTCTTCTTGTCTGCTATCCAAAAACATAAAAATTATAATATAGAAAACTATAATTTTGTCTGTGGTTCTGTATGGGTGTGAAACTTGGTCTCTGACATTAAGGGAGGAAGATAGACTGAGGGTGTTTGAGAATAGGGCATTGAGGAGAATATTTTGACCAAAGATAAATGAAGTGACAGGAGGTTGGAGAAAACTGCATAATGAGGAGCTTCATAACTTGTACTCTTCTCCAAATATAATTAGAATGATGAAGTGAAGGAGGACGAGGTAGGCCAGGCATCTAGCACGAATGGGGGGAAGAGGAATGCATATAGGACATTGGTGGGAAAGCCAGAAGGAAGGAGACCACTGGAAAGACCAAGGCATGGGTGGGTGGACAATATTGAAATGGATCTTAGAGAGATAGGATGGGATGGTATGGATTGGATTGGATTGGATTGATGTGGCTCAGGATAGTGACCAGTGGAGGGCTCTTGTGAACACGGTAATGAACCTTCGGTTTCCATAAAATTCTGGGAAATTCTTGAGTAGCTGTAGAATCGGCAGCTCCTCCAGAAGGGCTCAGCTCCATGAGTAAGTAAGTAAGTCACTAATTAGTAACTTATTTCCATAGATTCTTCTTCCTTTCCAATGATGAAATGTTAGAAATTTTGTCTGAAACCACAGACCCACTGAGAGTACAACCTCATCTGAAGAAATGTTTTGAGGGAATTGCTAAGTTGCACTTTGATCCTGCTCTCAACATTCATGCCATATATAGCAGTGAAGGGGAGAAAATAGATTTGGTGCAGCTCGTCTCAACAGCTGACTCTAGAGGAAATGTTGAGAAGTGGCTTGTTCAGGTAACTTATTTACATGAATGCTAAGTAACATATTTTAATATATGTATGTTATTGCTGTGGATTCGAGTGTAATCAAGGATGAAAGGAAGTCTCCATAGGCAGCACATGTTTTTGCATGGTTGCTTTATTAATACAGAAAATATGTGCATTTATATGTGATGTTCAAACTTAATAATAACAGAAATATTCAGGAATACCAGGTAAGAGTTGTACTAAACAGCTGATGGGTGGCATTGTCATTGGATTGTGTAGACTGTTAACCACTGTAATTAAATGATTTTCTCATTTTGACACAGATTTTGGTCACATTTTGATTTGACCAAATAGACTGTGATAGTTTCTTTGTTGACAGTTCAATGGAATGTTACCACACTGTGGATAAAACTACAGTAATTTGCCAAATACATTTTTATTTTATTCAAACTTAAGCCGTGGTCATATGTGGTTTTGGTAAATCCAGTAAGAAATGCAGAAAAGTGTCTGAGTGGTGAATTATGATCAAACTGAGCCATGGTCTGTTTCATTCTTTGCTGAATTTATTTGGCCCTAAGTTTAGAAAAAACTCAATGAATACTAGTAACTGTTTATGAACACCTTGAACACTTTCAAAAAAGTATTCTGCAGGTGTTGGAAGAATACTGAAGTTGACAAAATGGTAAAATTACATGTAAAAGGTCAATAAGAATGACCCAAAGAGGGGCCCCTTGATATTTTAACATGGCCTGGTCAACCATTTGTCTGATTATTAGCACAAGGGATCAAGCAGTAATGTTATTTTGTTAAATAGCTCCTAACAAGAAACATCCTCATGAAGACAGGTGGTATTTAGTTCTCCGACAGTGTTTCTCTGCTTTGGCCCTGTCGCCTGTCTGTTTTTCAGTGAACATCTCTGAATATTTTTATGCATGGGACAGGATAGGAACATTTTTGTATTTTATTATTATACAGTATCATGTTATCTGGGCCATGAGGTTGAAGATCCCGGTAACCAACAGAGTTTTATTCTGACTTAGGGTCATTTCTTTACATTGGATTTAAAGCTTGTATCTACAGATATTTATATATTATCTTGTTAGGGGCGAAGAATTTTCTTTGTGTGTGGGTTCATGAGAGATTTTTTTGTATTTGAGTTATTACTTTTTATACAAAGTAATGATATACATCCACGTAACATACTATTTTTCTCTGTGTCTGTAGATATTCCAACTGAAAGACAGCAGCACCTTTATTTAAGGACTACATGTGTTGCATTATGAAATATGTTCAGCTTGGTTTTCAGTTGTAGCCTGTTTTCAGGTGGAAGAACAGATGATTGTGTCTGTAAGAAATGAAATAGAGAACAGTCACAAAGTATATCCTATATGCAACCGTGCCAGTTGGGTTTTGGAATGGGCAGGACAAGTTGTGCTCTGTGTTGCAATGATGTACTGGACAGTAGAAGTGCAGCATATTCTTAGACTTCAGAAGTTAGAGAAATTAAAGGAGTATTTCAAAGATCTTCAGGTAAGGGTTAATTCACTGTTTCTTAGCATAATTACATGAAGAGATGACAGTTC